TCTACAAGGAAATTTGAAGAGGTTTTTATTCCTGCTCTAACAAAGGTCATTTATTCCCTTTATGCTGTTCAGCGAGTTTGGGAAAGTGTTGGCAGGAATCAAGCATCTAGAAGCCAGATTTTGCTGTCTTAGGCTGCCTTCCAGAACATGGAAATGTACCTTCCTTGGTGGACCTGGAGCGACTGTTTGGCTGTGCAGGGTTTATTGGAGGATCAGTATTTGTGGATGTAATTCCATAAAGGCTTTCACAGCATAAGGCATCTCCTGCAGTAACATCCTTCTCAGAAACAAACTATTCCAAATGAGAGCTGAAGAAAAAACTACCATTTAAAGACAAAAAAAAAAAAAAAAAAAAAAAAGAGAGAAGCTTTTCAGCTGTTTTGGAGTTAAAGTCTGGGAAAACATTTTCTATGTTTAAAAAAGGATTTTTCTTAATCAAAATGACTGAAATATCTCCAGCAACTGGACATTTATGGCGTAGCGCCGGCGTCTGTTGTCCCAGGTCCTCTGCCAGGACCTGCACACCATCCTGCTGGAATGACGTGGACTCTGCCCCACTGCTGGGGGTCCTGTCAATAGATTTAATCACTGTTTCGGGGCCTTGAACTGTGGGATGGTGTTTTGCTTTGAGATGGGTCCAACCTCTCACTGGTTAGTTGGGAAAAGGAGCATGGAAAGCAGTTCATCATTGAAGAATTTTCTTTGGGTTTTCTCTTGAAGATCTCAACAACCGTAGGAAGGGCTGGGAAGCTGATGTTTGGTTTAAAACCCAGCCTTGTCCACTGATGCTAAGTAGGGAAATGCTGCTTAGAGTATATTTAAGGTAAATAAATTTTCAGTGAAATGAATGTATGTGAGGAGACAATTAAGAAATCAAAAAATGGTAGGGGTTGGAATGGACCTCTGGAGATCATCTTCTCCAACTCCCCTGCTCCAGCAGGTCACCCACAGCAGGGTGCCCAGGATCACATCCAGGTGGGCTTGGAATCTCTCCAGAGCAGGAGACTCCAAAACCTCTCTGGGCAGCTGCTCCAGGCTCTGCCACCCTCCCAGCAACGAAGTTTTTCATCCTGTTCAGATGCAACCTCCTGGATTCTAGTTTGTACCCCCTTGTCCTGTCTCTGGGCACCACTGACAAGAGTCTGGCCCCAGCCTCTTGCCCCCCGCTGGGGCCCTTGAGCTCTTGCTCAGCCTTGACCAGATCCCCTCTGAGGCTTCTCTTCTGCAGCTCAGCAGCCCCAGGGCTCTCAGCCTGTCCTGGCACAGAGATGCTCCAGGCCCCTCAGCAGCTCCGCAGCCTCCGCTGGACTCCTGTAGCTCCTGGTCTCTCTGGAACTGGGGAGCCCAGAACTAGATACAGTATTCCAGAGGTGGCCTCCCTAGGCAGAGTAGAGGGGGAGGAGGACCTCCCTCAATCTTCTGGCCACACTTGTCTGAATGCACCCAAGGAGACCATTTGCCTTGGCCATCATGCTGGCTCATGGGTAACTCACTGTCCCCCAGCCCTCCCAGATCCTTCTCCTTGGAGCTGCTTCCCAGCAGGTCACCCATCACCTGTCCTGGTCCAGGAGGATCATAAGGAACTCGGACTCTTCTCTGGTCCAGATGACTCTGGCTAGGTAGGCAAGCACGCTGTCCATAAGATCCTCTAATTTGTGGCATTTTTAGCAACTGTGAGGCGCTTTGTTGACTTAGGCAGCAGTGTAAGACTTAAGTGTGCAGAAATCTTATTCATATAAAAATCTGTAGTTTATTCATTGACAGAAATGTGCATCACTGTGCTTAGCATTTTAATTTTTTTTCACTGTCACCTTCAGGATTAGTATAGTCAGAGTATCTTGGGCTTAAAGAAGAAATAAAGTTTTTCCTATAGGTATTAACTGAAAACCTTGCTAGAGTTTTATACACCTCTTTGTAACAGTGAGTGGGAGACTTTCCTTGGTGATTTTGGAGCTAACTCATCTTTGATCCTGCCAGACGTGTTGCTTGATGTCTTCATCTCCAAGGCCAGAATTTCCCAGGCACTTAGAGGAGCAGGAACCACCCGAGTTTACCCAGGCAGGATCGTAGCTCTGCAGCTTTTCCAAGTGCCTCTGGACTCATGCATGTCTGGATCTTCTGGAAGGATTAAACCATCTTCTCTCCCATGTTCCATAAAACTTTCATAGGAGCTTTGCAGCCATGCAGGACATAGTGGGTGCTTTGTCACCACTTCTTCATCCCGGTTGCTCCGTTACCGACTTCAAAGATTAGCTAGAAAGGCTCTGTAAGTGCATTTGAAGCACAGTCAGAATGCAGCTGAAGTTGGTTTTGCATCTACTGCTTGACTTCAGCAAAAAGATGCCACGTGCAGCCCAGTGCCAACACTTCTCCCTTCCTCACCAGGCAGAAGGAGAGACTTTAACACGTTTCTGGCATTCAGGGCATGTTTTTATCTCGTTCCTGTTGCATGGTTTTATCTCGTTCCTGTTCAGCTCGCTGCCTTCCCCTTTCTGCTCACTGGCAGATTGGTTTCTTCCCCATGACAACTTAAACTCACTTCCTATGAACCTCCTCTGAAGGAGCTGCTGTGGGGGGAAGATTCTCTGAGTCATCATCTGAGAGGAAAGGGCAATGTAATTTTGATGACAAAATGGTAACTGATTATGCACTATTTTCTTATTCCAGACAAACTTGTGGACATTGCCACTTAGTGAGAGTTCCTTGGTGTCTCTAAACTTCTGAATGAGGCAGGGAGGGATGAGAACTCAGGTTGGGGAATAGAAGCTGGTGTATCACTGGGCTTCCCTCTTGTTTCTTGAGACAAGAGGTTTCATCTCTGGGAAAACAGGGATAACTCATGCTGGCTTTCCTCCTGAGGAAGGCAGAGGAGGGTTCAGAGGCTTTTACGTCTCCCAGATGCAAGTTGGTTTATAAATCCTCATTCTTGACCTGCTTCCCAGACTTTTGCAGTTGAAAACAAAGCAGTTACCATAATTACGTGCTGAAGAATTTTTATTTGAAGCTGCTAATCTTGCAGTGTAATTTTCCCAGCTGCCTTTCAGAAGGAGCTGAAATGTTTGTTGTCTGTGCAGGATAGTGAGGTTTTTTTTTCTCCCTCTTTAACACAGCACACTCGCTGCTTTTGTATTTTAGGTTTTTCCAGAGGAGGATATAATTTCTGGATACTAGACCTCAAATTCATCCTGTTAAACTCTATCACAAGCAGTGTAGAGCTTCTAGTCAGGCAGTCAGGAGGGAAACTCCTACCTGAGGCATGTGCTGACATGTAGCTTTCCAGCAGCATGGGCAGAGTGAGCAGGCTCAGGGAGTTTATGGAGTGAAGAGAAAATGTCAAATGTGAGTTTACCCAATTTTTGGAAATGCATGTTAGTATCAAGGCTGATGTTCCTGAAATTCTCATTTCTTGAGCCAGTCTGGAGCAAAAAAAAATGAGTCATCTACAGCACTTTTCCCTTGCAGTTCCAGTATCCAAAAGGGCTACAGAGAGGTTAAAAATGGATTTTCTGAGAGCAGCTGATGGTTCTGCATCCAGAACTTCAGAGATGCTACTCAGATAACATCAGATACTTCTCCCAGGGCAGCTATTTCACACCAGCTTGTTTCAGTTTCTAGTCCTCATGTCCCAGCACGGCATTGCCACATTTCTAAGTAAAGTCTCTGGAAGACAGTTTACATTAGACTAATTTTTTAATTTTTTTTAAATAGTACAAGTTTTATCATTAGAGTTTGTTTTTGTGAATTGTGTCCTAAAATCCTTTTTGTACCCTGTTAATTAGGATTAGATTCTTGTTGCTTTTTTCACTGGTCACTGTCAGCAGAGCTGGTGCTCACACCTCCCACTCACTGTGCCACAGGCTTGCCCCAAATCCTTAAATATTCCTTTATGTTGTTACACATAGATTTGGGAATTGAGTATAATTGTATAAGCTAGACAAAAAAGTGAAGATTCCCATATACCTTTCTTTTATGGGAGAAATACAGAAGGGACACCAGTGTTGGGTGGGATTTTAACTGGCTAAAAAATTCATCTTTATGATAAAACCTGATGTCAGCTTGTTTTCCAGATACTTAAAAAAAAAGGTCCTTAAAGTGCAGGAGTATTATTCATGAACCATACAGCAGAGAATTCATCACGTCTGCACCATGTGGCCATCATCTCTATTAGTCAGACACTGTTGTAGATCAGGAATTTAAGGATACATCTTAAACCACCTCTAAATGAGAAGTCAAACCAGTCTTTGAAAACATTTGCCAACCACTCACAATCAGCCAAATCAGGGTTTTTTTGGTTTCTACCTTCTCTCCTGCCTCTCTTCCACATCTCTGGGGGTTTGGATTCAGTAGGATTTGGATCCTTCCCAGTCTGAAAATCATTATGTGCTTAAAATGCATCATGAACTCTGTTTTTTTGTTTTCTGTGTGCCCATTTTTTTTTCTTTCCCTGCCTTTGGTAGACAAGAAAAATACTAAGTATTTTTTTAAGAAGGAGGAGTTCTTGGAACATCACGTGCTGCCTTTACATGCAGTGTATGAGAACAGTGCTCGAGCTGCCTGTGGATGCTTTGAGCTGTACTGGAGGCCACCAGGTCCTGTGCCACTGCTCTTCTGGGAGGCAAGGAGATGCCTACACTTAAAATGGGAGGAATAAACAGGAGTATTTGAATCTGTCCCTTCTCCCAGGGAACAAGCGACAGGACAAGAGGAGATGGCCTTCTGTTGCCCCAGGGGAGGTTGAGGTTGTCCCTGCGGAACAATTTCTTGCCCTGGAGGGTTGTCCAGGGCTGTGCCAGGCTGCCCAGGGCAGTGGTGAAGTCCCCATCCCTGGAGGGGTTTCCAAGCCGTGGAGATGTGGTGCTGAGGGACCTGGCAGTGCTGGGTTAACACTTGGACTTGATGATCTTAAAGGTCTCTTCCAACCAAAATAATTCCATTATTCTATTTTTGTAGAGTGCACAAATGTGACAGCTTTGTAGAAACAAAGCAAGCTTCCCATTATTGCAAGAGAGAGCCAATGGCTCTACTCCAGAGCATAGAGAACTGAAGACACAAAACTAAATGATGTGGCTAAACTCTTAGAAAATCACTTGTTGGCCACGAAGTATAGGACTTAAAACACTGTAAATACACTGTCTCATGTCATTATTTCCAGCTGAGAGAAGAAAAACTACAAGAAGAAAAAGCTTCCGAGGATCTAATTCACAAGTTCATTCTAGATGATGTGGAAGTAGGAAAAAGAAAAATGGAAGAACAGCAGAAAAAAGATGAATCCTTAGTGCTTAAAGTGAACCAGGAGTCTGTAAGTAACTTTGTACTTCTCTCTCCTGTCTACATCATTGACACTGACTGGTGACACTAAGCCAGTGTGTGCCCAGGGGGCCAAGAAGGCCACCAGCATCCTGGCTTGGGTCAGCACCAGTGTGTCCAGCAGGAGCAGGGCAGGATCGTCCCCCTGCACTGGGCACTGGGGAGGCCGCCCCTGGAATCCTGGGGTCAGTTTTGGGACCCTCCCTCCCTCCCAGAAGGACCTTGAGGGGCTGGAGCGTGGCCAGAGAAGGGCAACGAAGCTCGGGAAGGGTCCAGAGCCCAAGGGTGGTGAGGAGCAGCTGAGGGACCTGGGGGTGTTGAGCCTGGAGCTGTGGAGGCTCAGGGGAGACCTTCTGGCTCTCCACAGCTCCCTGACAGGAGGCTGGAGCCAGGGGGGGGTCGGGCTCTTCTCCCCAGGAACGAGGGACAGGACAAGAGGAAACAGCCTCAAGCTGCCCCAGGGGAGGTTGAGGTTGGCCCTGAGGAACAATTTGTTGCCCTTGAGGGTTGTGCAGGGCTGTGCCAGGCTGCCCAGGGCAGTGGTGGAGTCCCCATCCCTGGAGGGGTTTCCAAGCTGTAGACTTGATAGAGTCGGGTTAATGATTGGACTTAGTGATATTAAAAGTCTTTTCCAGCCTAAACAATTCTATGATTCTATGACTCAGTCCTGGAACAAGAACAAGACCTTGCCTATCTGAGCATCTCCTGTTCCTGCCTGTTGGAACTGGGAGCTTCCATCCTTTGACAGAGGGAGTTCTCCAGGATTAGTTGATTGACTTCTTTATAGCCCTTGAGGGCTATAAGCCAAGAGGTGACAAAGATCCATGTTAGTGAGAACTGTCTTCTAAGGTTTGTTATGACTGCAGATGTTCTTCTAGAGGTTTCTGTCCCCCTTTTACTCTTCTTGTGGCTGAAGGTGCAGCGCTTCCAAACATAGCAGATAAATCTATAGAGGCTAACGTCTCTGCTTCGCGTGTCCTTGGCCTTCAGGCATATATGCATTTCCACAAACATTTCTCCTTGGATCTTCTCCAGTATGGGTGTATGATCCCACAGTCCAGGAGATTCTTCATGCTGAGTTTTGCCTAGTTCTCATTTCAGTTGTGAGACTCCGCAGGAAATGCTCCTCAGACTGATAGCCTGATGTGTGGGTACTCAGTAACGTCTCGTAGTACCCTTCTTGTAGGATTTTCTCATGTCTCCTTGATCAATAAATGAACATTCTGCAGTGACTGACAGCTCCATACAGGAGCTGTGTGTTTATTTTTGCATTATTTATGCTTTTGGTGCCATCTTCTGAGCTGCTAAGCACCGCGCAAGCCTGTGTATCTGCTGGCAGGTTTCTTTCTGGGCTGACATCCTCCAGGTGTAATCAGGATGGGGGTCTGGGGAATCTTTAATATCTTTGTGAGCAAGAGCTTTATTTTCCAAGTGATTCTTTCTGTTGTACATGTCAGCTAACTCTTCCTTGGTTGACTCCAGTTTCCCGAGCGCCTCTCGGATTCAGAGAATGAAGAACCATTCCAGGGCAAGCAGACACACCGCTCAGCATTTGTGTCCAAGACCAGTGCCTACTCCTTTGCTTTCCTTTCAGGGTAAGATGCTGAGACTTTATTCAAGCTGAGTCATGTCCATTACAGATGTTCTTTTGACTGTTGTTCTAAATGTACCTGAGATGGTTTAACTTTAATTAAACTGGTTGTTCCAAGCCAAAGGAAGTAATATTTTTTTTCTGGAATTCTTGAATGGACTAATTGGTAGGATGGAACTACTGTCTGATCATCTCCTGCCTGTCAGAAAATCCTGGGGGTTAACAAAGTTAGTGTTGATCCCATGGAGCAGAAGAAACATTGCTTGTGGATTTAAACCGGAGCAGGCTGCCCAGGTGGTGGAGTTACCATCACTGGAGGGGTTCAAAAAATGTGTAGACGTGGTATTTCAGGACATGGTTTAGTGGTCATGGAAATGTTGGGTTGATGGTTGGATCTTGATGATCTTAGAGGTCTTTTCCAACCTTAATGATTCTATGATTCTATAGATGGAAAAATCATTAAAGTACAAAATTCTGTGGGATGAACTCAGGGGTGCTGCTGGATCCTTCTGCAGCACAAGTGATAAGAGTAAATAAGTGTGAGAAGGGATTTCCATAGTGGTATCATTAGCTCTGACCTCCAAAAGCTACCAGGTGGAGGTGGAGGTGTCAGTGTGGAGCCCTTGAACCCCAACCAGGACTCTATAGCAGATCCAAAATTACTGGATCCCTTTGCCCCGAGGGTGTAGGAGGCAGCTCTAACAGCCAGGAGCTGCCAAGGCTGATGCCTCCCTCACAGGGAGCTGCTGCCAGGGCTGTTGGGCTGGTTGTTCCTCGGGTCATGAACAATCTCTTGTTTTCACCCATCTGCTTTTCAGGAACCTCACCACCAAGGTGGAAAGGAGTCGGAGCTGCAATGACACCGTTCAGGAGAGATCAAAGAGCAGGCAGAGATCAGCCCCAGCCAACAAAACAAAGGTACTGGATACAACTGGAAACACAGGGTTCGTGTGTCTGGATCTCCTTATCTGAGGTTACACAGCTCCTCTAATCTGGAGACAGAAACCACTGTGTTGGTGGTGCTGCTGGCGTGGGGTTATCGCCGTGGGGCCAGGTCACAATAAGAACCTGCTAGGTTAGAAATTACTAAGCAGAGAAGCAGATGGCTCACAGAGTTGTTTGTTAGCAGTGGTGAATAATTGGAAGCTGGAAGGGTAGTCATCATGCTTTTGTTTTGTAATTAATTTTCTTTCCAAGGCTGAGTCCTCAGTTGATGAAAGAAAAATCTTTTACAAGTTTAGAAAAAATCGTAGAATCGTTTTGGTGGAATTGACTTTCAAGATCATAACGTTCAACAATTAACCCAGCACTGCCAGGTGCCCACTGACCCATGTCCCTCAGCACCACATCTCCACGGCTTGGAAACCCCTCCAGGGATGGGGACTCCACCACTGCCCTGGGCAGCCTGGGACAGGGCTTCACAACCCTTTCAGGGAAGAAGTTGTTCCTCAGATCCAAACAGAGCCTTCCTTGAGGGAATTTGAGGGCATTCCCTCTTGTCATGTCCCTTGTTCCTTGGGAGCAGAGCCCGACCCCCACCTGGCTCCATCCTCCTGTCAGGGAGCTGTGGAGAGCCAGAAGGTCTCCCCTGAGCCTCCTTTGCTCCAGGCTCAGCACCCCCAGCTCCCTCAGCTGCTCCTCACCACACCTGGGCTCTGGACCCTTTCTCTCTTCCCCTCACCCGTTCTCTCCTTTCTAAAGCTGTTTAAACAAAGCCAAGCTCGGTGCTCTCCAGATCTTCAGATCCTTTCTTTTGGGAAGAGCTGGCCTGCTCTTGCTTCTCCTTGCACCCAGCAGCCCAGATGAATTTGCTGTTCCCTCTCACCCTGGGCCACAGGCCTGACTCCTCCCTGCTCTGCCAGCTCCGAAATGAGCGGCCATCACAAAGCCCTGCTGCAAACCTGAGCTGGAGGATTTTCAAGGCTTTCCCAGCAGTAACTGCTGGTACCTTCCACTTGCTGGAGATGACCTTTGCAAACATCTTTCCTTGTGGTGCCTGGCAGCACCAGGGACCTCTCTGACCCTGCCAGCAGAGGCACATTTTGCACTCTGGTCCACCTTGCTATGACCTTCCACCAACCTTGTTGTTGACAACTCTCCTTCTTGGTCTCCATTTCATCCCAGATGGAGAAGGGCAGGGTTCAATTCCAGAGATCCCACAAGGAACTAAAGCCTCTGCAAGCCTCTGGAAGGTCTGTTTGGTTGGATGATGTTGTTTGGGAAATGGTAAAATCCCCACTGGACCCACCAAGTTGACCCCAGTGATCCCCTAACTACACATCTCTGAGGTTATGAGCATGGACCATGGTCAGAGAGTCTCAATTTAAAAACCTGATCCAGTTCCCATCTAAGCTGAGAGGAGCTGGATGAGCTCAAAGCAAAGGGTCTGTCACTGACCTTCCCTCCCAGGATACTGGGGTTTTCAAGTAGATGGCTTTTGGATCTGACCAGTTTACAGTTGCACTATAAGGCTGTTCCACAAATTTATTTTGACCTCAAAATAAGTTTGGAGAACTCCCTCTCTTTTGGGCAAACAGGGAAAGGCCAGCACAGAGTTAGAAACCTGTCATTGCTCAAACTAGCTGCTGGATAAAATGATGTCACCTTAGAGCTGAGACTGATACCATTGACAGTTCTGTGTGTGCCCCTTGTACTTGTGATTTACTTGGGGCTGGATTCTGCCACGTTCTAAATGTAACAGCACTAGAGGATAGTCTTGGAGATGACCAGAAATGTTGTTCCTAAGCTCTGCTAGAACCTGTCTCAGGTGTTGTCCAGTGTAGTGGGTGTGGTTTGGTCTGGGCTGACCCAATGAAGTGGTTCTACCAATCCACCTCAGGCACAGAAACACCTTTTCTCGTGACGTTTGGCAGTGCAGTGTTAAATTTGGGCCAAGTATTTATCTTTTCTGCCCTACAGCTTGGTAGGGAGCAAAAAATGCTTTGGAGATCATTCCCCTTGAAAAGGGTGGCTTCCTTCAGCCAGGGTGGTGCAGCACTTCTCAGCCCCTCCTTGTCTTGCCTTGCTTTGAGCATTTTGTCATCAGAGTGGTTGCTACTTGTGGTAAGAGCAGCTCTTCCACCGAGTTAAATTTGAGACCCAGATCATGCTGGACTCTGGTGTCCTCTGCTTATGTTAGCCATCGGCCGTGAGAGGTGCCGTGACCAGCAGAGGCTGGCACCCTGTCCCACAGAGCTCGTGT